AAGAAATTGTTGGGCAGGGAAGGACATTCCAGACAGGAAATATATGTGCAAAGCTGAGAAGTGAGAGTGGGAATATGCATGAGTAGTGAGAAGATTTATTTTGTAGCATTATGGAATTATTTGTGATTGATGGAAATGATAGTTGAAAATGAATGTGGCAGTGGTATATGGCATAAGTTGGAGCAGGTAGAGACAGTGAAGGGAAAACAGGAGCATATTGTTGTAGTTTAGGTGCAACTAGGTGATAATGTCTAGGTTAGCCCAGATTAGGTGATTTCTGTACGAGTAGAAAGGAGGAGATATATCATAGTCATGATAGGAGTGAGCAACTGATTGACCGATTGTGTGAAGGTAGAGGGGACATTCAAGTATTGATCTAACTTCTCAAGTTTGGGTGACTAGGGCAATAATAATATTGATAAAAATTGGTTACATCTTCATTACATATTTCATGAACTACATTTGCCAGGCACCATGTTAAATGCTGGGGTTTTGATGGTGCACAAGAAAGATAGTCCATGCTTTCCAAAGCTTATGGGGGAAGTAGGGAAGACGGGTATTGGAAAGAGTTTTCAAGGGAAAGTATTGATAGTATTTGATTTTGAAGTAACAGTACATATTCAACTGGAAGTAGCCAGATAGTAATTTCAGGTGAATAAGTTTTGGACTAGGGATAGAGATGTTGTCTGGGACTCAGTCACATTGAATTTGTACTGAAGCCATAAAAGTCTTTGGAGTTTGATGGAGTGAGAGAAAATGGAAAATGCAATGTTAAATACTGGTTCCTGGACCTTGTCAACATTTAGGGTTGAGGAAAAGGAAGAGAGACATGGAATAGTTGAAAAGATAGAAGAAAAAATAACAACTTGTGTATAGTGTCGCTGAAATTGAGAGAGAGTTTTTAGATGGTCAGTCTTAATGCTTCTAAGAAAGTCAAAGAATGCCAGCTGTGCAATAGCTATTGAGTTTGGTAATCAGAGGCTCATTGGTCGATATAGGTAAAAGTAACTATATAGGTAGAGAGACAAAGCTGAATTATAAGAAATAAATAGACATAGAAATGGAGAAAATTGTTATTAACTTTTTGGGGGGCGGGGATAAGTGGGAAGAGCGCTGGGGGAACAGATGCATAATACTGAAGGTTGAAAAGTTGGTGCTGACCTGAATGTATTTGTAGGTAGATGGTATGGAACTCATAACAGAAGAAATAAAAGAAGCGAGGTGAAGGGTTGTTAATTGGAGCATAACAATGTGAAAAAGAGCCAGGTTTGAAGGGTGAGATCTAGCCAGTCCTCAGAGATAGGATGGTGAAAATATTAAGTTATTTTTGACATGTGGAAGCTAGTGTGGATGGTGTACTTGACCTCAGTGTTAGTAAGTTGGGAGTTATCTCCTAAGAATGCTAAGAAGGAAAGAAGGTATCATTAAAGCATTTGAAATAATGTTTTATAGAGTTTGCTAGACCTTCAACAAGAAGTCTTCAGTGGTAGAATTTTTTATGGAAAATAATGTATAAAAATTAATCATAGATAGCCAGATTATAAACTCTGACTGAATTTCTACCAAGAATGTTATTTACTTAGAATGAAAGCTCGTTTAAGATATTTGAGATTTATTTAGTTACAGAAAGACTTTAAAATATCACTGATGATTTTTCTCATGAAATCGTTATCTACTAGACAGTTTTAGAAATGATTAATATTTTCTTAGACAGTTATCATTTCATATTTCTATTTCTGCACCTAAGGATATTTCTTTTTTCTTTTTTCTTTTTTCTTTTTCTTTTTCTTTTTTTTTGCTAATTGCTTAATTCTGCGCGAAATTGAAATATAGTTAATTGGTCATAGCTACTTTAAATCTCTTTGAAATATTGATCCACGTTGGAAAATTCACCAAAGTTTACTTTACACACATCAATTTTATAGCTTGACAGGAGCTTAGAGCCTCATTATATTTTCATATGTTTATATACAGTCATATATATTTATATTTTCCCCTCAGTTTTGAGTTTTTCAGGACTTTTAATTCTTTTTCCTGTTGAAAGTTTTTTTTTTTTTACACTATTTTACGTTAAACAGCTATGAACAAAACTCAGATTAATGAATTTATAGTAGTTCGATGAGTTGTAGGGAATGAGTTGTAGGTTTTTTTAAAACAGACTAAAATTAAGAGTAAACATTTATTATTTATTAAATAAGAATATTGAAAAGATGAAGATGCTGAGATTATTTTTATTTTTCTTTCAGTTGTTCGAATAATTAAAAAGACATGTTTTTGACTTCCAGATTTGTCAGATATTAACATTTAAAAGTGTTATACATACATTCAAAAAATACAGCATTTTAGATATAGTTGGTTTGTATCTAACTAGCTGTTTACTTCCGTAGCTCTCCCTATCCCCACGGGTAAGCTCTGTCATTTATTACATGGTTTTCCTTTCTTCAGTCTTGCTACCCATTCGCAACCAGTTTTTGCTTTACTACTTTTGATCATTATTAACTTCCTGTTATAGTACATGAAGGTTAGTTCTTTTATACTTCTCTCCCCTGCAAAACAAAAAAAAACTTTATTTTTTCGCCATTTTGTTAATATTGTTATGTAACTTATTTGTCATTAGTCAGCGTGTGTATTGGGAGAATTTGTTTCTTATACAATGATTACATTGATACAACTTAGTTTTCTTAAAGTTCAACGATGACTTGTTTTTTAGCTGTGTAGATTTCTACATATACTTAGACTTCTCCCATTTCTATCAGTCTGTTTTGCGCCTGTCATTAGTTTTTCTCAAATTCTCGTGTATTTCTGGGTTGAATTTTTTTTTAAGTCTGCCATAGAGCTGTCATCTTGGGACATCCTTGACTTCCCTGCAGTCCTGTACCCCAATTTCCACCTGATTCTGATATTTTTCTTTTCTTAGTTTTTTTCTTTCATTCATTATTCTCATTCTCTTATAGGTTTCTTAAGAAAGGGCACCTAGGAAATACATATATATATGTATATATATGTATACTCTTCCTTTTTCTTGTGGAGGGAGACTACATATTTGAAAGTCTTTATTCTGCTCTGATTGATAATTGGGGTATAGAACATTAAGTTAAAAAGTCTATTTTGATGACGCCGTTCCATTTTGTTATAGTGTGAGATGTTCAGCGGCCATTCTGATTCTAGTTCCTTTGCATACCCTATTTTTTTCTTTTCGGAAGCTGTTAGGATCTTTTTCTCTCTCTGGTCTTTATCTTGGTTTAGTGGCAGTGTGTAATTTTTTTATTTACCGTAGATTTAAAGTTGATGGTGCAGCATTTCAGTCTGGCCTGGCACTGCCCAGTGCAGTAGCCACTAGTCTCATGTGAGCACTTGAAATGTGCCTCTTCTGAATTGAGATGTGCTGTAAGTATAAAACACCCAGTACCAAAAGAGAAGAATGTAAAATCTCTAATTTTTATTTTAAAATTGATTACATGTTGAAATAACATTTGGATGTATTAAGTTAAATGAAATTATTATTAAAATGAATTTCATGTTTCTTTACTTTTTTAATGTAGCTATTAGAAAATTTAAAAATTATATAGTGGCCTACATCATATTTCTGTTGGACAGTGCTGATCTAGACGATTGTAGCCTTCAGTTCTGGGAAATTTTTCTGCATTATTATTTTGATAATTCTGTTTCTCTGTTCTTTTTCTAGAACTCCTGTTGAATCTCCAGGGTTGATCCTCTGTATCTATTTTCTCCTTGTTTTTCATCTCCATATCTATTTGTACTGCCCTCTGCCATTTTTTTTTTTTTTTTTGGTCTTTATAGTACAACCTACTTGATTTTTACTTTCAATTTATAAGGGCCTCTTTGTATTTGGTTGTTGCTTTTCCATGGCATTCTGATCTTACAGATATATTTTCCCTTCTCCAAGTATATTAATTACAGTGGGGGGGGCGGGGGCTTCGGTTATTGTTTTTCTTTTTTCAGTTCAATATTGCAGTCTTTTTCCTCCTGGTTCTGTTTTTCTGTTTATTTTTGTTTGCTTAATGGTTTGATTTTAGTCTTTCATATCTGATTATTTTTGACCATCTCTTCATATTTAAGAGGGAATAACTTTAAAGCTAATTAGTTTGAAGTTCTGGAAGGGATTTGCTGACTGTAGGCTGGTAAAGGTAGAGTATTGCTTCTCTCATTAAAAGATTTTCAAGTGTCATAATGTATAGATCTGTTTCCTGGGTTTCTTCAACTTCTCTGGAGAATTGGCCAAATACTGTCAGGAGTAGAAGGTTGAGGTGAGGATTTAGGGTTGATGTGTATGTGAATGCTACATTTTGGAAATGGAAAGAAATGTGGAAGGGGAGAAGGTGAGAGCGTCTCACTCTTCAGTTTGTAGACTTTTCTTACTGAGATCAGTTCTCTCAATATCTGCTTCATGTGTCCCTGATCTAAAGTGTTCCTGGTGTCCACATGTAAGGGGATACTTTCATTCGGTTGGCTCCTGAGAATAAAAGAGAAGCCCTAACTACACTTTAAGTTAGCGTCCCCATTTTTCACTTAAACCTCCATGACCTGAGCCAGTTATGGGGGTTCTGTAGGCAGGAACACTGCCACTTATTGGTATCGTCCTTGATGAGTAGTTTAAGTTATAGCTTTGCCTACCCTGCTGAAATGTCACTCTGCTTATTTTCTTCAAAAATTTTCTGGAAATCTCCCTTTTCTGTCATTTTTCACTCATGTTCTGATGAGTTTACATTTTTTAAAACTTCCTTTATGGTCATTTCCTAGGGTCTTAGAGAAGAGGCAAGGAGAACATGGCCAATTAGTAATGTTGAAACAGAAGTCCTGATACTATTTAAGAAAAGAAATCAGACTAATTCTATTTTCCCCTAACTTTTTTGATCTTGCCATTTTTTTTTTTATGTTCATGTAAAATGAGCTTTCTTGGACTTTTCAGGATAGCTTTTCTAACTTTCCATGGCCCCCTTTTCTGTTATGCTGCTGTTTTTAAGTAGCATTAAAAAATAGAGCCACTTGCTTTCTCAGTTCCTGTCTGTTCTCTTACTCCACACTTTTATCAGGACCTTCTCTTTCCTTTTCCTTGGTGTTCTAGTGCTACTGGATTTCTGTTCCATTCCCACCAGTTTCTCCTTAATGTGGTCTACTCTCCTGGAAGTGATCTTGGCTCACTTTGAAAACTCACAGGTGCTACACTGCTGCAACCTCTTAAACCTTACTGCAGACCTTTGTACTCAGCTGATACTGGATTGGGCAGAAACGCTCTTAGCTGCCTTTTACACCTTGGCCTGTTGTGCTTTTAATGAATACATCCCCTTTATGTTCAGGTTTTCCCATGCTTGCAATGGAGAATGGATCCGATGTTCCTTTGCTTCTCCCTTTGCTTTCTCCTGCACAGATACTAATACCCTGGAGGTCTTGAGGCTATCACTGCTTTGTGTTCACCTGAATGTATTTTGGGGTTCGCGGGGATATCTTGTCACCTGGTTTTATTATAAATGTTCATAAATTTTTGGTTTTGCTCTCTAGTTGTTTTTTTAATTGAGAGAAATTTTTAAACTTTGCTGCCATCTTCTCAGAATCCTCCTCCTTAAACTTCTTTGTGAGAAAAATCAAATTAAAAAATCAGTTCTGTGGCTATCAATCCTATATTGATATGTTGATTCATTTTTACTATAAATCGGTTTTTGATAAATATCTAAATGTCATTTTTCCCACTTCTTTTCTTATTGAATAGCATGCATCTTTGTGGCATATAACCAATACTGTTGGGATAGACCATCTTCTCCATGCATCAGTACCTTTACTAAAATTAATTCAGCTAGTATTTATTAAGCTTTTTATGGGATTAGAATGCTTTTTTAGGTTCCAAGGATACAACGATGAAATATTTATATATAATGGCCATCTTTTTCATTTGTGAATTTAATTAGGTAATAAAAAATGATGAGGTAATGAAATTATTTGGATTCACCTTTTATAGATTCAGCAAATGTATGCACAAGGCACTGGTGGTAAGTTTTGAAGATAGAATGGTTTATAGGACATAGTCCTTCTATTTAAGACCTTAATATGTTATAAGAGAAGACAGCTGAGTAAATAGGTAATTAGCATGTTATAAGTGCCACCATAAGGGTAAATGCAGGAGCAACCAGCTTTTTAAAAGAAGCAAAAGGGAGGAAAGAGTACATTGTTTACATTTTGGAGAATAAGACTAGCTCTCTAAAACCCCCCCTTTTTTTTTCACTACACCAAATCACACACTGCTATGAAACAGTTTTTTTTTAACTTGGATAACTTACTCCATTTTCTCCAGAGTAGTCATATTTTATTCCATTTGGCCCACTGGAGAGCACTTTCGCATTTTGTTTTTCTTGATAAAATTCCAGACTAACTGATGTAGAACCAAGTGAATCCATTAGAAATTTAGATTAAGAAATTAAAAGAGAAGTCAGGAGAAAATATGACTTAAAAATCTTTTTACTTGATGTACTAAGTTTATTTACTTTGGGAAAACAAGCTATCTGGATTATGTGTGTTTGTGTGTACTGATAAGTTAACTGTAAATTTATATAATGTCTAAGATGGAACTAGGCTAATGGTAATGTTTTTCTTTTTTTAGATCCTATACAGTGGTCTACAGACCAAGTCTTGCACTGGGTAGTTTGGGTAATGAAGGAATTCAGCATGACTGATATAGAGCTCAACACACTCAACATTTCAGGACGAGAATTATGTAGTCTCAACCAAGAAGATTTTTTTCAGCGAGTCCCTCGGGGAGAAATTCTTTGGAGTCATCTGGAGCTTCTTCGAAAATGTATAAAAATTTGTATTATTATTAACATTGTAACTTAAGTTCAGTTTTATTTCTTTATAACTTTGTTATCATTGTCATTGTTCATTGATAATAGCAATAATACTTAACATTTATTAACTGTATAAGGCTGTGCTAAGTGCTTTATATGTATTAGCTTATGTAGTCTCTATAAAGGCTGCAAATCATTACTTTTCTTATTTTTTAGATAGGAAACTGAGGCTTAAGAGCCCTGCAAGATCACAGTGCTAGAGAATGGTAGTGCCAGGATCCAGACTTGGGCTAACACTAAATCTACATCCTTAAATAAGATGCTGTGCCTTATGCTTAGCTCTGTTCACATATTCTAGTTGTTGACTTTTGTTTCTTCAGTCAGTTCTTCCATTTACTGCTCATCTTCTAGAAATTTAAGATTGTTTGTTCACAGATGGCTTCCCTCTCATTCTCTTCATTGTTAGTAGGATTGTATCTTTTAAAATTTAATTAAATAGGGTCTTAAGAAATAAGTGGTATAAGTATGTAACTCGCTATCTTGGTATGGAAGCCACTGGATATGTTTCCCTTTGCTCCACAGACTTGATTAAGTGACTGTATACAGAAATTAGAAACTACTCAGCTGTCCAATAAAAAGCCCTCAAATAAATGTAAATTATTTTGTTGGAATTTTAATCCATTTCATATTTCAGTGGCTATCTATTAAAATGTCTCAGTAGTAACCCATTGCCCAACACAGTTTCATAGATCAGAAATGCTAGCCAGACCCACATATTTTTCAGGATGTGTAAATAGGACAGACGGACTTAGTTTTTGTAATAGTTATGGGTAAAAACGTGTATGTTGTTCTACTGTTTGTCCAATAAGGGGACAGCTTTGGCGGAGGGATTTTCCATAGTATCTAATGCTTAGGGTTTTCATTCAGGGTGCATTATCTCCAAAGAAACGAGCTTTGGAGAGAAGCTTTCCTTCATTGTTTATATCTATAGTTTCTTTCTTATACTAACACTTCTAAATTTTAGATGGGGAGGAAGTATGACATTAAAAGACATTTATTTCCAATTTCAGTTTTTATTACAAATAAGTTGAATGTTCTGGTTGAAGGTTTTTCCTTGGTTTCACAGATTTTCTTCTCTGCAGATGAATAATGTGAATTCTGAATTGTTTCAGGATCTTTACATGTGAGCCATGTTCACTTAAACATTTTCTTGGAGAAACTTTCAAGAGTAGAACAAGGGCAGTGCTTAGTCTACGGTTTAGATCTCAGATTCACGGTTTTCACTGTCTTTCCCAGATCAGCACTTTGTTGTGGTTGTCTCTCCTAGTTCTCCTAGTGCTTCTCAAACTTTAAAGCTCATTCAGAGACTTTCCATAGTATAGGCAACAGAGCAATCTTTTGTATCTTTCCTTTTTTTTTTTT